TTGAGGAGACAATTACCTTATTTATAGTATAAAATCTAAAAGAGAGGACTGTCTCTCCATTACACATTTTTTGGTTTTTCCTTTAATAGGTATCTGAAATGTTTTCTAATGTAATCTTATGTATTCATTTTAAATACATGTATGTATTACTGTTTGTTAGTAATCTGTTTTCTTATTTTAATATTAGACTATTGTCTTTATAGTGAAAAACATATTTTTTGGAATTTTGTATTTTATCTGACAATCTCACAAAATTCTCTAATAAATTCTTATATTGGCGTATTGAATCCATTGGCCCTTCTAGGTAGATTACTATATTGGTAATAATGTAGTAAAAAAAAGGGCACATTCATTTCTTTCCTACAAAATGTTACAACTCTTATTTTTGTTTCTTTCCTAAAAGCTTACATCAGAAATTTTGTACTATATTAAACTACAGTGATGACAGTGTTATCCTTGCTTTAATCTTAAAGGAAAATCATCTACTGCTTTGTCACTAAGTTTAAATTTTCCTATAGGTGTACAGTTTTTATCAAGTTCAGGAAGTGTCCTTCCATTCCTAGTTTAAAAATTATTTTAAATTGTAAGTGTATTTTATACATATAAAACCTTTTTCTGCCTTTAATAAGAAAATTCCATTTTTAATCTATTTTTTTTAAAAACAATGAGACACTTTTGGATGATGAACCATTAAGTTCATATTGGTAAGGATATGGCTGATAAGCTAACCATACTTTATTAGGAATGACATTAAGTTCATATTGGTAAGGATATGGCTGATAAGCTAACCATACTTTATTAGGAATGATTAATTTCCTCTTGATTTGCATTTCATATGTTACAGTAATTAGGATGCAGACTGCTTTATTTATCTTCACATTGCAGTTCACCAGCACAACATTCTTCTTGCGGTTAACAAAAGACATTGGCTTAATAAATAAAGGAAGGCTAAAAGGAGGATAATAAAGACACTATTAGATACAAGAAACTTCCCCTGAAAGGAACCATTCAGTGAGGTCCATGAAAACTGACTGAAAATTGTGTATACTTTTAACACACTCTTAAGAAAATGGGTATTAGGTTCATTGAAGGTCTATAATCCATAAAAGAGTTTTTGCTCCTGAGAAAGACATTATCAAGTATTTCAAACCCATGTAATTCTTTTCCATGGCAAAATATTTTCTGTGATGATGACAATTATGAGAGGAGATGATGCTAGATGACCTTTAATCATTTCTTCTTAAATCAACATATACTTTTTGTACAGAGAAAAGACTCAATCCCTGCCCTTAGAAGCTTTATACATCACTGGGACAGGAAGACATTAAGGGGTTACACAAATAATTATGTAGTTGAAAATGAATAAGCACTATGAGAATATATGATAAGAGAATTTTACTTATTTTATACTTTCATATATATTTTAGCTACTATAAACTTACCTGGAGAAAGATGTCCAGGAAAAAGAGATTACTGAAAGAAGCTGGACAGAATTTTATAATTCTTGAGTTACCAAGTAGATATTCCATATATGGGATAAGCAACAAAGCTTAGAATACGACAAAAAGAGATGGGGAAATGTTTCAGTTGTTCTCTGAGATGAACTCCCAAAGTGAGTAGCTCTTAGAACCTGGCTGTGATACTAAGTTCCTTTTCCAAGGTGTCACAGTGCTGGAGATATCTAAGGAGAAGACAAATGTTGTTGGAACTCGTTCCTTTTTAAACTTCCACATAGCAATCTGAAATTAAATTTAACTCTAGACTTAACTTCTGAGACTAAGAAAAGAAGCAATGGATATGTGATTTACAAACCCTAGGTAGAAATTGGCTCCAGGAAGGAATGATGATATTCCAACCTAATCCAACCAGCACTTCATAAAGTGCCTTTCTCTTGAGCAAAACACACACATGTAGATATTTTCTAGTTAATTGAACCAACAGCATCTTCAGAAATTGGAGTCACTATTTTGGCTAAACAGCTTTAATTGTATATATCTAAGGTTTATTGAATGATTGATACTCACCTCTGTTTATCATTTAGTGTGTGCACATTGTAAATAAAAGATCAGTCATATTTTAAGAGATAATGAGCTAGGGGATAGATTGGGAAATTTTGTGGAGTTAACATAGGTAGATTAAATAAAATGTCTTATTTTAGTCTTCAAAATATAAATGAGACACTTAAATGTTTTAATTGAAATTGGAAACATGTTAAATTGATAATTGGGATTCTCCAACCTGAAAACAAACACCTTAACTATATAAAAACAGGAGAGAGAGAGAGAGAGAGAGAGAGAGAGAGAGAGAGAGAGAGAGAAAGTTTAAGTGGATCCACTCTATAGCCAAAAAAACTAACACTGTCATTTACTAGTTGTGTAACCATAGGCAAGTTAATCTCTCTGAGCTCTACTTTATCTATAAAATTTATCTACAGTATAAGGAAATGTGTAAGGCCCTTACTTGAGTCCATGAGATATGAAAGTACTCAATACTATTATTTGAGATATTTTTATTTGTTATTATGAAGGTAGTTCTTTCCCATCAGCTCCACTATCATGAATTCATAAACTCTGTTTCAAGAGTTAGAAAAGTACATGGAATAACAGGCAAGTGCCTAGATCCTTCACAGTGGCTACAGTAGTCTCCAAGTGTTTGGAAACCACTGGAAAATTTTTCTTCTGATTATGGCCTCCTGCTGGTCTTGGGTGCCTTATTGCTTCAGTTACCAAATATATTTTGATAATTCCCACTCCATAGCTTTTCTCCTCCTTGAACTTCGGGCTTGTATATCTAACTGCTTATTGAATCCTCACAACACTTCAATTGCAATAAATCCAAAGCTCACATGAGACCTGATCTTCCTCTCTGACAGATGTGAGGGTCAGGGTTGATTTAGTTGACTAACTGACCAGGCTGGTTCTTATTTTCTCATAAAATCTGTTAGAGATTAGAAAAGATCACTTTCCATAACAGAGAAGAGCTGTTCTTTTTTTTTTTTTTGAGAGTGGGAGAGGAGAGAGAGAGAGAATTTTTAATATATATATATTTTTTTATTTAAGTTCTCGGCGGACACAACATCCTTGTTGGTATGTGGTGCTGAGGATCGAACCCGGGCTGCACGCAAGCCAGGCGAGCGCGCTACCGCTTGAGCCACATCCCCAGCCCCAGAAGAGCTGTTCTTCAGTCAAGAATAAGTGAAAACAGCATTGTTCCCTTCTACAACATTCAATAAGCCATTTCAAGAGATTCTGTAGCTTGAACCATGACTATTTTTTCTTCATACAGAGTATTTTAGTTGCTTCTAAGCCACTTGTGTGTGTGTGAGTGTGTGTGTGTGTGTGTGTGTGTGTGTGTACTAGGGATTGAATTCAGGGATGCTTAACCACTTAACCAAATCCCCAGCATTTTTTATTTTTTATTTTGAGACAAGGTCTCACAAAGTTGCTTAGGGCCCACTAAATTCCTGAGACTGACTTTGAACTTGAGATCCTCCTGTCTCAGACTCCAAGCTGCTGGGATTATAGGCATGCACCACCACCCACCTGGCTCTGATTGTGCCTCTGCCTCTCATTGGCTGGGATTTTTTTCATTGTAGAGTGTAAATTACAAGCCCTGGGTGACCTGCCTTCACTACTCCAGTTTTCCTCACAGCTTCTTTTGACTTCACACTTTGTTTCAATGCTAAACAATTTTCCATTTTTCCTTTCAACTTTGATGACTTTGTCATTTTGCTGATGCCTTTAACAATATCCTTTCCATAATGCCTACTCATTCTTCAAGGATAATCTCAGAAAGCATATCTCCAGGATGGCCTCCCTGATACATTGGGGCTGGGCTACCTGACAGCTCCCTGGCCCCCTTGCATCCCTGGCTTGCTTACTGCACTGCATTGACAAGACACCCCCTTCTCTTGACATCTAAGTGGTCAGCATATCTCCAGGTTAGTGCTTTCCTATCCTGCATCCCTAGCACTATGCTAAAATTTAGTGAAGGAGGCTGAGGAAAATGTGTGCTGAAGATGTTCAAGCAGAGATGAATCAGAGGCTCTAAACACTTGGCTGCATACAGAAAACAACTAAGGACCTTTTGAAAATACAGATGCCAGCAACTCAAGTTAGAAGCTTTGGAGGGGAGTCTGGGTATTTAGGCGTTTAAAACTCAGGTATTGATAATGTGCAGCTGGGGCTGGGAACCAACTGGCTCCATGATCACTGAAAAATGGTCTGGTGAATGGTTTCCAGAGTCAGATAAAGGTAGATGCTTAAGGCACCTTTACTCATGAAGTTCTATGACATGATTGTTGATATAATGTTTAATTTTTTCAACATATTGCCCCCCACATTATTATGTTTTGTTTTGCACTCAGGTGACTTGGTTGATCAGCCAGGCACCAGACTATGATCACCCTAAAACCTTAATGTTCTTGAAAGACTATCCTCCAAATTCAGACATTTGATTAAAAGATTGTGAGAAAATAGTCTCAAGGGGCGTTTTACATGCCTCGTAGATTCCAATAGAGATATCAGAAGTCTCAAGTGTAAAACCTTCCTGGTTCTCTCAAAATGCCATATTTGTAATATGCAAACTATTGCTGCCTCTATATAATGATTATAGTGAAAGCTGTGAATTTGCTTTCTTTTATAATATCTGGGCCTTCTATAATAAAGGCAGTACCATATTTTGACTCCATGTACTTTTATAATGAACAAGACTTGGTACAAGTTCTATATGGAATAGAAATGCTAATTTGGAGTTAATGCAAAAATTATTAGTGTTTGTGGGAAGAGTAAGTGGCTACAATTTTGCCATTCTGAGTACTTTTTAAGAAAAGGAATGTTTAAAAATATAAAAATGGTCAATCAATATGTTAGGAGCAAAATACCCTGGAGTACTGAAATTTCAAAACTAATATTCAAACTCTGAATCTGTTTGATTAAAAAAGTTTAATGAGCTATAAAATAAATACACTTCCATTAAATATTAAATAAATTATTTACAACTTGAAAAAATACTTTTTATCTCCATGCATCTCTTTATGTACAGAAATTATTTAGCATAAAAAAGTGACAATTGAAAGTTTAAAACCATCAGAACAAAAAGGTTCCATTTTCTTCACTGAAAGGAGGACCGATTCATCATTTACAGTTGTGACTTCGAAGTGACTCTGACCTGATACCCTGTTAAAAAATAAAGTGTTAGAGAATAAGCTTAATTCCAACATAGTTTTAAAAAATTTCAATGAAAAATCAGCAATCAGAATTTCTGCCATTTTTTTTTTCAAAATTGTTTTATGAAAAATGCTAAAAGCTTTTCAGAAACAAAATATTGCTTTAGCTTGAATTCTCTTTCATTTCTGCTTGGGTTATAGGCCTCCTTAGAAAACTAAAGATGCTCATACCAGTTGCATAAATTTCTGCTTAATAAAAAAAGCAATAACTGTCATGAAAATTAGGTTTCCTAACTAAATCTACACAGTGGACATAATTAAAAACAGAGATTAAGTGGCTCATTGTACTTATGATATGCAGTTAATTTAGGATAATTAGTACCAAGAGCATAATAATAGTAGCTACCAGTTAATAGGCAGCTACTAAATGCCAGCACAGCATATTCCTTTTCCTAAAATTATTCTGGGACCTACACTGAGAAATCTTGATGGCACCAAATAACCAAAAATCTACCCTATTTATATTGGTGGTCTTAACTTCATCACAATAGGCCAATACATTAAAATTTTGATGTAATAAATACTGAGTATAACACTGCTATAAATAATGATTTATTTCATGAGGTATGGGACTAATTCTCTAACAGGCTGAGAACATAATATCTGTACCTAACCAATGTTAAATAGAGTGGGGTTCTCTAAGCATCAGAATCATCTGGAACACTCATTAAAGATAAAAATTTCTGATTCAGTAGATTGAGCATTAGGCATAGGAATATTCACATTTAACAAGAATCTCAAGTAACTATTAAAGCCACTGACATTAGGAAAACAGCGCCTTAAGGAGGTGACATCTCCAATGTCTAAGGAAATGAAATTCTTTTTTAAGACCGACTTTAAGTGTACCCTTGATTTCTCTTCCTCCCTCTTCCACTGGAAGTTTTCTTTCATGAACTCCTTTCTTCAGTTGTCAATGAATTATCCCTCTTCATACCTTCTTACCTTCTACTTACAACATGCTAATTCTCCCTTTTTATTTTTTGGTGTTGAGGATCAAACCCAGAATCTTGTACCTGCTAAGCATGCATTCTACCACTGAATCCTACTCTCCAATCCTACAGCTCTCCCTGTGGACAAAAGTGTGTGTGTGTGTGTGTGTGTGTGTGTGTGTGTATTATTTATTTATTTACCAAGTTACATACCCCTCTCTCTGTTTCTACTTTCTTTCTTTAAAAGGAGTATTTAATCTACTGTCCCCACTTCCTCAGTCTTTTAGAACAAGCACCCTACTCTGGCTCTCCAATGTATGAGCTCAACCTATCATTACAATGTTCCCTTCTCTAATATTCACTGGAGCCAGGCTGTTTTCTAAAATGATCTGTTTCATCTCTCAGTATTTAATACTCATCTTCCTTTTCTTCATAATTGCTTTTTACCAATCTCACAGGTCCTTTAAGGTTTACCTTCAATGTCACGCTAAATATATATAATTTCCTGCTACCAAAATGCCTCTCACAAGATTTTTTCATTCATCAGAAATTTTTCATACTCCATTGGTTCCTTTCTGGTGACTTCCTTTAGTATTCTGATTCTCTGCATTCTCCCCTATCTAAATGTTATGTTCCTTGAGAACTCTCTCACATCTGTATACCTTTTAATACTGAATAAGTACATAGCCCATTCTCAATACCAAACTCAATCTCATACTCAAAGAATAATACTTTTCATATAGCCATTAAGAGTATGTTCATAATTAAAAACATATTCCTCATTTTTCTTGAGATTAATAGTGCTATATTTTTCACAAGTATAGGATATAATGTAAAGTAAAGTTTATAAGTCAAACCTGTATTATCTTCAATTATGCTATAGAATGTGCATGTCCATTTTCTTGTTGAAGTTTCTTTTGTTCTTCTGCTTCTTCTTCAAATTCTCTGAAGTATCTTTTTCGAAGCCTTGAGAGAAGAAGATGTTCTACTGTTACTAAAAGCCCATCCATCTATATGTTGACTGAGGTTTCCCCAAGTACAAGGGATTCCTTCTCATGAGCTCTTATAGACAACAGAGCAGCATACTTCATGCTAAACAAAAGCTTAAACCCGACTATAAAATACCACCAGTATTCTCTTTTAAGGTGACAGTTATGTTGCCTTTATATAAACATATTTCCAGAGAACAGAGGTTTAAATGCATCTTTAAGATGTAAACTTTCAGAAGGCATGGAACATATCCAAATGCCTTTTTTTTCCTGAAGAATTTAGCACAGCTGCCAAATACACACTTGGAAGAGATGGTGGTATAGTTTTATAACACATGGATTGATGTTTATACACACCAATTTGAATGATCAGAATTTTTGAAACCAGCTTACAAAACAAGTTGTTTTATTTATTTCTAAATATAAACATTTCCTTCTAATTTCATACATTGCTATTAAAATTCAGTGTATTGAAAAAAAAATTTGCCATTATACAAGCAATTCAATTTTTAGTAGGCCTTTAATGAATCTACTAAATATTATCATCAAAATCATATGAACTTTCATTATGATATTTAAAGAAAAAATTTACTTTAGTTATTGAAAACCCAGTAACTATGGCTTAGGCTTATGTTTGTTTTGTTTCATATACAAAAAGAATACAAGAGTAAAGTGGCTTAATTTTAAGAGTGCTAACATGATAGCTTTCCATATATTTCTAAAGGATTATTAAATACTGCAAGTTGAATGACTGAAAATTTTAATTATTGCAAAACACCTTTTTCTTCTATCCCCCTATATCAAATAGTAATGATTTATCTGAGGATATCTTCCTAAACACATTTATATATCTGACTTGAGGTACTAGAAGATCAGAATAATTCCAGGGTGTGGAAAACAAACTTAAACTATACATCAAGCTTCATGTGCCTGATAAAACAGTTCTTTACATGCCATTTTATCACTATCTGATCTGAATTTAAGATAATGGTAAACAATAGCAAAAGATAACCCCTTCTTTCCTGAAGGACAGCAGTAGTAGATCATGTACAGGATCCAGTGAAAAGTAATTTACCAAGACCTAAAATTAGAATAATGAGTCCACTACTTTTCCCAAGCTCCAGTGGCACATGAGTCATCACAGAGCCATTCATGCCCTCCCCCAACTTCCCTCATTCAGTATCTTCTGTTTGGTAGACACAAAGCCGTTTTATGTACCCATCAGTGCCTACTACATAGAGTAGGCCAGTTCTAGCTTTCATTGGTCATGAAGAGAAGTATGTGATGTTGTTAGTAACAGAGGGAAGATACTGTTGGAGTGAAGTACTAATAGAATTGTTCTTCCTACACCATGCCATCTGGAGGAAATGTTTTGGTTACACTCTCATTGTTATTTGACAATAAGAAAATAGGCATAAACTGTGAATAAATTATCACCGTGCTATGAAACTACAAACTCAGGATTTTGCATTCCAAGACAAGCAGAGACATGTCTCTTCTGGGCTGCCAATTTGAGGTTCTTTGTGATTTTTAATACCAACGCAGTGTGTCTGATGCTATGAATCTACTATTATTTTCTGGGCAACATGCTTCATCTTAAAATATTCATAGAAGATACCAGCACTTTCTGAGATTTAGAAATAACTGTGAGAGAAAGATGGCATGCAATAAAATCATCCATTTTTAAGTTCAAAAATTGCTATGAAATTCTGAAAGAGAACTTAATGTGTTGAGTTTCTATGGTAGGCAAAGTAATATAAATTCTGACTGTATTATTCAAAGATCATATGCTACCAAAAAATAACTAATTCAAAATATTCTAGTAGGGTGTGATAGAAATATTGAAGAAAATTAACCTTATTAGGAATTGTTAAGCTGTGCCATACTTACTGGACTGTAATAACAACAGCAACAGCAGTGAAGCTTGTAGCAGAGACAAAGGCAGCTATAGCTGCTAATGCAACTTTTGAGAAATCTCTGTCACCCATGCTGTGAGTCTTCATGGATTTTTCTCCACATCGTTCACCAAAATAATCATGATGACATCTGTAAACAACCCACATTTAGAAATTATAATCACTAAAAACGCCTTATATATTCCCAGTTCACCTTCTAAGTCAAAAACAGCTATGTAATTCCAACATTTAAAAAAAGTTATGTATTTGTATTTCAAAATCATGAGACACAGAACCCATTCTAGCTAAATATCCATTAGTCAAGATTAGTTTGGGTGTGTTAGTCCAAAAAGACACACCTTGCTATTCTTTGTGCTTCTTTTATGACCAACTGATGAGTTCAGTGACTTATACAGTTAATATATTCCACTATCATCTAATGTGTTAGCAGTTTTGGGGGGCTAGAAGACAAAGTGGCTAGAACAACATGAAAAATTAGGTGAAGAGTTTATTAAGAATCTTTTTTTAAAAAAATACCTATTGTAAAACAATGATTTATAGCAGTGATCCTCAAAAATATAGCCCACAAATCCAATCTGGCCATTTGCCAGGTTTTTTACAACTCATAAGAATGAGATTTAATCCTTTTAATTGGTTACATAAGTACAAATACAATCTCAGCCCACAAAACCTAAATATTTTCTACCTGATTCCTTAATAAAAAGTGTTCTAATCACTGGTTTATACACTGGAAAAAAAATCAGTGGTTTCTGCAGCTAGGGATTTTTCAGATATGGTGTAGGAAATACATAGTTCTTTGTAATTCTTTGAAACTTACTTGCATGTTACTGCCTCCAGATTCTCTATATATTTGCATTCTCCATGAATGCAGAAATTTTGAAATTCTGCATCACATGGATTTTTCTTCTTTTTGTTTCTTCTATTTTTTCCACCTTTCCCTCCCTTTTTCTTTCTTTTGGGTTTATCTGAAGTCTTTTCACTTTCTGTTTTGTTTTTCTTGGGCTTAATTACCTGTTCAACTGAAAAAAGAAAATAAGATTTCTTAACAGTCTCTCTCATCTTGAACATTATTTTGGATCCATGAGACAAAGAAATCAGAGCAGTGAGAGCTCACAGGGAGATAACAACCACGTTTGTTTCATTATTTAACACAATACACACAATAAGTGGGCAGAGAATATCAGTTGTATGGCAATTAAACATCTGAACACTTTAGTTATTTTATTTACACATTTTTATTTTGAATTATTTGTATTGAATTTGTATTATCATCATTAGTATTAATAGTAAGACTTATGTGTCTAAGAAAATCCATTAAACATTTTTAGCATTTCTTGAATTTCTAATCATTCCACATTCTTGGCAATGAGTATCAATTTACTTGAATCTAGATCATGACTGCATGCATGTTAGCCATATGAAATAATGCATGTTAGCCATATGACATAATGAGGAAACTGAAATTTAGTAAAGGCAAGCAACTTGTCCTAGGATATATAGCTAGAAAATGACTGTGCTGGGATGACAAAAGCTTGTTATTTTTTCATAATACTCTTCCTTCTCTTTGGAAAGGTCAATGTCATTGATTAAAATGACATTGAACTTGGGGTTTATTTGCTGATTTTACTTACTCATATTGGCCCTGTGCTCACTATTATAGTTGGGAATTAGTAGACACTATTGGAGAGTGCAAAAAACTGAGGATTATGTATTAATCAATTTTTCCAGTTCACAGATTACAACAGATCACAATTGATACCTTTCACAGTGCTCATTTCTGTGTTTGATCTATTTAAAAATAATCCAGGAATATTTGTTAATTGATGCCTCAAACATTTAACTTAACAAATCTATAGAAAGTTTGTTCAGGGTGTAACTTTTATGCTAAAGTCATAGAGGGGCAGTTTCCATTTAGTGGTATGCATTCTGTTCTACTAAAACCTTAATAGTTTTATATGATGAACTATTTAGCAAGCAGATCCCAATGAAAAGAGAAAATATCATTTATCATAAAGGTCACACAGTACCCATTAAATAGAAAACTTCAGAACCACAGTGTGAAGGTTAACAAGAGTATGATAAATAAATATTATGAATATTTCCACAGGCTATTATAATAACACTAACAAAATTCAAATTAGGAGAACTGTCTAACAGGTGGTTATGCAATTTTTATATTGAAATTTTCCTCTGATCCAAAAAAAAGTACAAGTTAGAGTAAGTCCTCTAAGAGAAGCATTTTAAATGAATATTACTCTACTTTATCAGAGAGATTACAAATCATAGATAGAGGCAAATAATAGTATCTATGCTAAAGTGTGGCAATAGACATTATACCCATGGACATTTAACTGAACAGCCTTCCAAAGAAGTTCTTCCAGTGATCTCATACTATTTTATAATGCATTGCAATCTGAGCACTAGTTATTAGCCCTAGTAATAATGGATTTGGCTTCTGATGTCTTAACAATTTATATATAGTTAAGAGACAAGTTGCTAGATACCTGGATGGTCTAATCTCATCCAACTGTAAGAATTGCAAGTGAACCTTTTCCCTAGCCCAAGTTCAGAAGTAAGGGAGTACAGAGGTCACTACATCTTTGCCCAGCTCCCACTTAAACCACTCTCTTTCCCTCTGGTTCCACTTGTTCTCTCTTCTCTAGCTTTGGGATTCAGGGAGAGGAGAAGTCAGGGAAACTGGTCAGAAAAGAAGAGGCCTTAAAAAGCTCTGAAACTTTCTTTCCCTGCTCCAGATGGATGCTCCTAGTACATGAGATTTGACTTATTGATGGCCTCTTCTTCCATGAAACTCCAAAGTAGAATGAGGGTACTGAGCAACATTTATCTCTTTCTTTGGTATTCATTTAAGTAAAGGGTCTTTTAAAAAGATCAGATAACAGGAAAAGTGAGTCATATTTTAACTAACAAATGGAATTTGGAGTTAAATCGTGATTTTAGTGATATAAAATTTATGCATACTTGTTCTTTATTATTTCTAGAAGGCATTATTACCAGTTTCTCAACACCAAGTATTTTAAAGGATAAAAGTCAAATTTCTCCTGTCCCATTTACTTTTTTCTGTTGCCTTGTGTTAAAATGCAGTTATCTGGGGAAGGATGAGCTGGGGAAAGGGGATACAGATGCTAAGAAACAAAGCAAATAGGAATGGTTAAGGTCTACTTCTGTCTCAGATTAGAGTTTACATGGCATAATGTGAAGGAACATAATATCTGGAATAAAACAGAATGGGGTTCTAATTCTGGCTTAACTGCTACCTGTGCAGCCTTGGGCAACACAATCTTTTTTAACATCATTTATTGCATCTGTAAAATGAAAATAATGATGCCTACACTTAGTAAAGTTGAGAAGATTTGATTTAAACATAACATCAATTAATCCTCTAGACATAGGATGTGATCCTATATAGAACTTTCTGACTCAGTTTTTAACCTAGAAAGGTATGCAATTCACACTTTACTGAAGCAGTTTTGCTCCTGTAAACCCACATCCCTTCAGCTACATTTCCCCTTTAACCTCTACTTACCTCTGACTGAATCATCCACGATGTAGCCAGATATTTGTAGTTCAGCATCATATTCTAAATAGTCATAGTCAGTTCCTGAGGACACTTCAGTACTAGAAGGCGTTTCAGTCACAGGGGAAATCTCAATTCCTGGGGTCGTCTCATTTCTTGAAGCAACCTCAGGTCCACTAGTACTGTGGTTCTTGGACAATGGTTCCCCTTTCCCAGAGTCAGTGTCATTGAGATCCAATCCAACAGCATGATGGCCTGCAGGGGAAAGATTAAGGAAAGAAAAGATGAAGCAGGGTGCCTCTCTCACCAGCCAGCTATGTTAAGTAGAAGTGTTTATCTTCTGATATCAAAGCAGTTATTGCACATGTGCTATTGTTTTTGATTGAGTCACTTCACATTTTGCCAAGAAGCAAACTCAGCTGTTCCAATTACAGAGCTTCTTTTATCCAGGGTTTTCTTTCCACAGATAGAGTCTACATTAATCTCCACATTTAAAAAAAGGGCCAAATTAATGCAACATAAACACTTAACAGGTAATATCTAAATATTCCTATCACTTTGCATTCCAAACTCATTTGTATTGCTAAAATGCTATCTTGCCCCATCTTTGTAGGTTCTACATAAAGACTAAATTTTCTTAACATATGCTCACATTTTAAAAAATCATGTATATATAAAATGTAAAAGTCAATGTAAAAAGTAATGTCAATTTAATAATTATCATTGTCATTTTTTCATTATTATTTTTATTTACATAGGAAAGAAACTTAAGGACTAGGTAAGATTTTGGGTCCAGAGTTTCAAGACAGTACTTTATCTTACTTTGTTTTGGGTCTCAATAAAACAGCATCAGAGAGGTGATTTTAATCTTTCCGCAGGACATGAAAGTAAACGGTGAAAATACAATCAACTAGACAAGAGGAGACAGAGAATTTAGGCAGGAGGCACCAAACACTCCTGGTTCAGGAATTAACTACTCTGTTGAAATCTTTCTGAACCTTTCTTTATCTGTACAACCAAAGGTTAAGATGAAAGGATCTCTAAAGTCTCCATCACCTGGACTAAAGTAAAAGTACAAGTATTCTTCAGGACACTCCTCCTGGCTGGATGCTAGAGACACTTGTCTGGGTTTTCTCTCTTCTCGGAGGGAGTAACCTTAGAGGGTGATCGCCTCCAGCGGGACAGATTTCTTTTTGGAGAAGCAATAGCAACATTCAAAAGGCGACAGATTCTGCCTGCCTGGAGAGAATCACCAGGTAGTTCAGAGCCAGCAGATCCTCACCTGAGCCGAGGATCAAGAGCCACAGCACCACCGGCGCCTGAGGCAGCAGCGGAGTTCTCATTGGTCCCTCGGGACGTCGGCGTCTGGGTCTCTGGGGCAACTCAGACGGCAGCTACTGGCAGAAGGAAGAAGTGGTAGGAAAAAAGGGCACAAGAGCGGCTGTGCTCCTGTGTTCCAAGGCCCGGCGCGGCCCCGCCCGGCTCGGCTCCGGGTGATGGGAGCCGCCGGCGCCCTGGGCTCCACGCAGGAATCTCTGGGTTGCTACTCGCTCACAGGCAGCAAGGTGTGTGAACGTTCGGTAGGCGCCCGCGCACCTGCCGCTTTATAGGGCCGGGCGGGGAGGGAGCCACCGCCTGTGACGTCACTACCGCGGCTGTGGGTGGAGGCGGGAGGCCGCCCCAGAAGTTACTACCCCAAAACCACACACGGATGGCGGGGGCCACACCTCCCTCGTGCGTAAAGAGCCGCGGGGAGGAAATAGAAAGTCAAACCTCTAGGTGCAAGGAGAAAAAAATATATATATATCCATATTCTAGAGTGGAGAGGTAGTACTGGACAGTCAAAAGTTCCAAAGTTTCAAACTATCTGAAAATAAAATAAAATAAAATAAACCTCTGTATATATTTTGGTTGATCTCAACGACAGAAAAGTTCCATGATGTAAAAGTACTGTTAAGACCAAGAGTGAGTAAGCAAGGGTAGCTTGTCTTTAGTGAAGATAAATGAAGTTCATTAAATGAGAGAATCTCCTAAAGGGAAACTTCTTCAGGTGTGATGGGCTTTCATCAATCAAAGGCCCTTTGCCACCCACTTGAAATGGCCAGAATTTCAAACCATCTCCCTCCTCACTTTTTAGGTGGTTCAGGGTTCCTGGCCAAAATTAGTATTTAGTGATCTCTTACTATGCACTTAAAATTTTACCTATACTCTCTCACTCAGTAACCTGTTGGTAAAGTCTCATCTCCCCATTTTACAGGGAGATAAAGGGCAGGTTTTACAAAGCAAAGAAGAAATTGACACAGCGTGTAATGGCAAGTGTCAGGTAGATTTGATTCAAATTCATATGGCCCTGAAGTTGGCCTCTTGCCACTCTGATAAAGAAATATAGGACTAAACTGATCTCTGAAAAGAGGATTTCTGGGCAGAACAATGCTTAGGAAGAATCCATCTCTGCTGGTAACATTGACATTTGGGTAAAGGGTAGTGCCAGAGGCTCTGCCTCTCAAATCCCAAGATAAAAGAGTCAGCTTCGACCACCCTTTTAGAACCCAGAAGGCATTTAATCATAAGTAGATAAAATGTAGAGGAGAGAGGGAGCTGCTGAATTTAACTTTGATGTAGTGGCAGCTTCAGAACTGGAATTTTCCTGACTTAAGGAAGAGAAACAAGTTGCATTGTTCTCCCTCTTTAACTGTCTCCTTGACCTGGAGATACGCATCTCTTCCCTGATAGTGCCAGTAAAACAGCCTTTTTAGGAATGTGGGTCACAGTGCCTCTTGTCCTCATTCTGAGAAACTTTTAAAAAGCTTACTGGCCTTTCAGTGGTATATCACAGTGAGTAGGCTAAATAATGCCATACATTTTGCAGAATAAAATGAGCAAGAGTCATGAATCATGTCTTCGAGTCAACATTTGTTGAAAGTGCATTTTGTGTAAACCACCTGTTATATTGTTATGGGGGCAAGGGGTGGGAGTTAAAGAGGAAGATTAAATAGTCACCAGATGCCTGTGTTTCAGGAGTTCCATGGTGTGGCCCAGACAGCATCTCTGGTTATCCTGGAAAGTTTGAGGAAAGATGGAGAGACCCCCTGAAAGGCCTTCACAGCAGAAAGTTCAGATTTAAAAAAAAAGACCCAATGTTGAGGTGTGACCAAGTGTGGGAACTAAGGCTGGAAAGGTGGCACTGCACATTCCAGAGTGAAGCAGGGGCCTGCACTGTCATCTTTTTTTGGTGGATGAGGCGATTGTGATTCAGAGATTAAAGACTTGCCCAGGATTTCAAAAGGTGATAGTAGAGATTTTGTTTGAAACTCAGGAAGTTGGCTTATAATGTACATTTTGTTTCCCTAGGTGTCAGTTTTGTTCTATTCCTCCAATTTTCCTTTTATAAAATTTATTTTTTATTTAACAAGTGAAAATTATAGCTATGTTGTACAACATAATGTCTTGATATGTTTTCACTTTAGGCTATATCGAGCTATTTAACATATGCCTTACCTCCTATTTTCTTACTCTTTATTCTATCATCAGAAATGGTCCACTTTCTATTTGAAGTGAAATCGGACTCTTTACATTAGAAATTGCTTAGTCTTTCTCCAATTGGAAATTCAGAGGATGATAATTTACATTTCTGTGGCACATAACCTAGATCGTGGAAACAGAATAGCTTAGAGCTTAATATGAGATTTAGAGTTGAATCAATCTAGGTTTTCATATCCAAACTCTACTACATACTAAATTCCTGATATTTAAAAAACTCAAATTCCTCACCTGAAAATATGAATAAAGAAACACCTACCTGCTATTAAGCAGGTCAAATGAGATAAAATATACAAATATATAGAACAGACCATAGCATATGTTAAGTCTCAGTAAACTGTAACCTTGACATTATGAAATTATGCTATTGCAAGCACATTAAAGAACCAAGTAATTTTTATAAATGGAGATGCTCACAGAACAAGTGAAATCATCCCCTTCATTATTTTCAAGCCATGAACTTTGTACATATTTCACACTAAGACTAACCATTTTGAGCGGTTTATGATGCATCAAAGGGTAGCATAGGGGCATCATCATAGTCGCATCACAGTGCATCACCTACTGATGTGTCATGACATTCTGGAATATGTGCCTGAGTAGTAAACCAGCTGCATGTAAATGAAGGACTCTTTATGTTCTGCATGCTAGCTTGAGACAAAAAGGAATAATTTCAACAAATTTGAAAGGAACTCTACATTATCCTGATAAACAGATAGTTCCCTAACTTAAGGGGCTAAGGGCAGCCTAAGTCAAATGCCTCTAACCTGCCATCCCTGTTGGTGCCTACTATCCTGTATCCTAATATTTGAAATGCTCATAAAAAAACTTACTTTTATTCCACTAAAATGTATGCTGTAATCAAAACTATGGTCATGAACTTATTCAAATAACCTTTCATTTTTACAGACAGTGCAAAATCTGAGTATTACAATATGATCAATTTTATTATGAGTCATGAACCCCCAGACCACAATTTAAAAATTCTCCATCTATAGATAGTATTTCCTATGTTATTAACAAACATATTAATTCTATTTAGATGTTTATAATGTTCTACTTTTTGTCTTGGAATTTACCCCTGCTACAGAATTATTATTATATTATTATTTCTAATTTCTTCGAGAAAAAGAGCCTACAGGCACAGTGGCACAAACCTGTAATCCCAGTAGCTTGGGAAGCTGAGGCAAGAGGATCACATGTTTAGGCCAGCCTCAACAACTCAGCAAGGCCCTAAGCAACTTAATGAGACTCTGTCCTAAAAGAAAAAAATAAAAAGGGCTATTGATGTAGCTCAGTGGTTAAACATCTCTGGGTTCAATTCCTAGTATACCCCCCAACCACCAGAAAACCCTTAATTGAACTTGGAAGTTGAACAACTCAACACACAAAGGTAAATTATTTGTCCTTTACTACCTTTAACATCATAACTTTTGCAGGGCAAGGATTGGTAGATGTGAATGAAAGCATCAGGAGATACAACAGAAACTAAATAAACCCAGTATACAAATAATTTCATTTATGCAAAAGAAAAAATATGAATCTTCTAGGTACTTCATTTGTTTCATCAAATACATTTTGAGAAGTAGGCACTATTCTAGGCACTGGGGAGAGAACTTTGAATAAGTCACAATGTCTTTGTTTTCAAGGACTTTATATTCTATACAGAGAAACAATATATAAAATGAATTTGGAAGTGAAAAGGGCTAGAAAGGAAATAAAATATGTGAAATAGAGGGTTTGAAATGGTGCAGGGAGACGATGCAGAATAAATCACAGTCCCTATACTTAGTAGTTCACATTTTCTCTTTAGAGGAGTACAATGGCAGGATAATATGGAGAGTAGTATCCTACTGAATAATAAGTGTGGATGATCAGAGGTATAGAGACACAAGTGGGCAGGAAGAACAAGGGATGCAAAATAGATATAAATATTGAATTGGGCCTCAGAAATGTGGAGGGGTAGGACTTTTAATCTAGGAATTCATGTCATTTCTTCTGTACCCCTCTAAGCACTGCAAGGCCAAAGCGTTCTTTAGGACTTCAAGGAGTGGACTGAAGAGAATCACCTCAGAATGTTCTCACTTTCCATTCTCCTCTCTTAAATCCATAGGTTTGGAGGCAGGTCCCAGCCTCTGTATTTTTTTTTTTTTTAAGAACTCTCAAGAAAATTCTCACATGCACTCTGAAGAAGAATCACTCCACTAGGGGATAACCAGGAAGGAAAAAAAAATCAAGATTTCTACATTCAAGGAGATTATAAAGTAGCAGGGCTGCACATTCATGTGCATGGAAGTTTTGTTGGAAATGCGAAGAATGGAGAAGTGAATTTCACAGGAGGACTACACTGGCTGAGGCAGCACACAAGCAAAGTGAGAAGAAGACACTTATCTCTAAAACACTCATGTTACAAAATGATTCAAACATATGTCTTTGAAAATAGGGAACTCTACTGTGCCAAAAATATGTTTGGATATATTTTTTTAAATCCACTTTGGATATATTTGTTTAAGAACCAATTTGTCACATAAAAGCAATAGATCTATGCCAGTTTATTATAAATCCTCAGTAATTTGATTCTGAATATAAGACCACAAAACAGGGTATCTGCAACCATCATATACTGAAATAGGAAGCATTCAAAGTGTAGTAAGCTATTAATTCTTTATCAATTTGTAATTTTAGAATAAGATCTGGCATTTTTACTATTAAAAAATAATTATTATAAAGTCAGGTGATTGAGGTGATCAAAGTCCAATGAAGATATTTATGGACTGACTTACGAATGGCAGTCATTAAATATATTTGCCTTGATTTTTAAAATTATTTTCCCCAGTTCTTTACATTTACTTAAACTTTCTTTAATGCATTTCTACACTTTCCTTGTTTTCTTATACTTTATTTTACATTTTATCACTCTATCACACAATCAAGAAATGTGATGACCAGTTTTTAAGTTGCTAAACTCTTTTTTTTAAAGAGAGAGAGAGAGAGAGAGAGAGATTTAATATTTATATTTTAGTTTTCGGCAGACACAACATCTTTGTATGTGGTGCTGAGGATTGAACCCCGGGACGCACGCATGCCAGGCGAGCGCGCTACCGCTTGAGCCACATCCCCAGCCCAATTGCTAAACTCTTATTGATCTCTGGTTATTAAAAAAACCAACATACCTCTAAGAATTACATAATACTATTATTAAGGACCAATATTTTATGCATTTTATGAATTTATATAACCTTCTTAAATACTCATGCATTTTTAGCATATTTAGAAAATATACCAATTTCACTGCATTTTCTTCCTTCCTCTCCTTCTCCCTCCCTTCCCCCCACACTCTTTTTGGTAACAGCATCCTCAGCCCTTTTTATTAATTTGAGACAGGATCTCACTAAGTTGCTGAGCCTGGCCTCGAACTTTCAATCCTTCTGCCTCAGCCTCTCAAGTTGCTGGGATTGCAGGCATGCACCACCACACCCAGCTAGATTTCACTGTTGTTTTTTCACAACAAGCTTTTGTTTCAGAGTTCAATGAGAATGGCAGTTTTATAACATCATAAGTGAAGGCATTATTAATTTGTTGTATAGACCACTTCTGTACAGTCTATTCTAGTCATGAACAGGTTAAACCACAAAGAAAATGAGCCTTATGTCTCATACTTCTCAGAGCTTTCCAAATACTTGCATGAAAAGTATACATCCAGAAGAAGAACCAAGTATTTGCTAATATTAAAAAAATACAATTATGTGTAAAACTCATAGAAAAGGAGGAATTTGGGTTACCAATTTTGTAAACATCAAGTATGTCTTTCAGTATTCTCCTGAAATCAGTAGTTCTGTCTTGACCCTGTACTTATGTTGACTCAAATAATTTTGCCATTTGTTTAGTAAATATAATTTCAATCCTGATTTTTTTCCTTTCAAAGGATTTTTAAAAACATTCCTTTTGGTCACCTCTCAAGGTATCAAACCTTCTAGCAATGTATTTTTTAAAACCAGTTGCTGAAAATTCTGGGAATCTCGTACTCTACCTTTTGTGAATTTAAGAAAATATTTGACTTTTCATGAGTATCATTGCCTGCACGAATCCTGATAGGGTGAGGAGGAGAGCAACATAAATGGCAGGCAACAATTTTAAAGGACTATGTTTTTTAAGAACTATAAATTTGATGAAATCTTTTCATTTCAGAATGGTATTCAATAGAATTCATATGTTCATCATTGAAATAGGAAAAAAGACATATTTTGCTTAAAATTACATCTTTGGAAGAATTTATGCAGTTTGTACTTTGAAAGTTCTTTTAACTGCCAGACAGCTTAAAGATATAATAACTTGCAAAAATTTTATGCCAAATTATTTGTTTCTAAATTTGCCCTGTTTGGGATATTTGAAAATATTTCTGTACAGTTATAAACCATAGAATACATTTCATTTTTACTTCCTTACAACAATAGTACTATCTGCACAAAATTATTCATTTCAATGGCATATTCCAGGGAAAAACTCAAAGTTTTTAATTATTTCTGCATCCATACATTTTGGGAAGTCACACACATGGGATGAAAAGTAAAAGTACATTATAAAAGGAAGTCCAAATTTTAAAAATTAATTTTAAGAATAGAACAGGAAAATGAAGGAAGTTTTATGAACAAATGTTTATTGACCGTAAAAATTAATTATAATAGTTGTTACATAAAAAGTTATAAACTACATAACTACTTACACAAAATTGTGGACATATTATATATAAATCTATGTGGAAATATGCATGCATAAAAAATCCTAAAATATATATAAAAATATTAACAATATCTTTTTGTTAAGGAATTGTTTCTCTTCATGGCCTAACTTATGTAATACAAAAATCATGCATTACTTCTATCTTTTTTATGGTTAAAATCCCAAAGTGTACAAGAAGATAATCTCCAAAATGAACTAATTTGATGTGATTCCATAATGAATACATCAGGTTTACAAATAAGAATACCAAATTTGAAAGAAAATGATCTCTGAGTCACCTGCTGTTCCCCACCCATTCTTACACTAGTACATTACTCCCACATCTGTACTGTCCTTTATCATATAGAGAGTACATGGTCAAGGCTGTAGGAACTGAGTTTGAAACTACTGAATTTTAGTACAACTCTCTTCCTCTTATCAACCAGGGTAAATTACTTAAGCTCTTTGTAGCTTTGGTTTTCTCATCTCTACAAAAAAAAAAAAAAGGAGATAATAATAACAGTACCAAAATCATAGTAGGACTCTTGTGATGTTTAAATGTAATATGGCATGTAAAACACTGAGAATAGTATCAGATATTTAATTATTACTCAAATATAGTAAGTATTTTTTATTACCATTAATATTGAGATCAGTGAAGAAAGATCTGTGGATTCCAGTGAAAATTTTTTAATGCATATTTGTAGAATAAGTGTGATAGTTTTGACTTTATAACTTGAGAACCTCCGTTTATTGTGACAGA